AAGGACCAAAGTATGTTCAGTCGGAGTAAAAATACCGTTTACCTCAAGAAACTCAGTAAGTATTTTTTTTTCGCGGGAATACACATGTTACACTACATTTGCAGAAATGGACATTATCATTATTATATATATATATTGATTTCCCCTACTAAAATACATAGAAAATTATCTATGGCCTATTTAACCCAATGACAATGTCATTTGTGAAATAAGGTAAATCTTTGAACGATTCACCATTTGTATTTATTTGTGTATTTATTAAATGCATTTACTGTTTTAATTCATTAATAGGTTTATTTAATTCATCTAAAGAGCTTAATTTCTCTTAATTTAGCCCTAATTAAAACGAGTGATAATGTTGATAGTGGTTCAGTTTATAGTTTAACATGTGTAAGAAATCTCTTGTGCTGAAATAGTGAACGCACAGACACTTCACTAATTGAATCATAGCAACGTCGTCCATGGCATCTGATATGCCCTAATTGGTGTGGGAGCAAGGCATATTGTGAACTCTATTAAAAATGACACAGATGTCTGTTACTGATTAATCAGCAGAATAAGTCCCAGTAGAACTCCCCATAACCTTTCTTTCTTTCTTTTTTTTTTTCAAAGAAGATGAGCTGTCATGTTATGGTTCTCAAAATACAGGAATACATTGTTCAAGTGGTAAGATATTAACAATAGAAGAGCACTTCGAGCACCTGAAGATAAAAGGAATCAATAGTCAAAATGCTTAGGATATCATTTGCTAATAAGCAGAATATGATAAACCTGGCATGCTATTTCACTTGAATTAGGAATTGTTTTAACAATCTAAAGTATATTAAATTATACCAGTATGCTAGAAAGTTACCATAGAAAAAATATGAAAACATGCTTTTGCATTTCCCTAGTATGTTTGGTGTAGATACATGTATATACGTATATTTTTCTTCTTTTTTTTCTTTATTTATGAGAGTTTGAAGTCATCATACATGTACATTCACATCTTGACACTCATCAGGTATGTAGATGTAAGGAAAACTAAGGAAATTATAAGTTAACAAAAAATAATAATGAAAATAAAAGAATAAAGGCATATGTATAAATTAAATCCCATTAGGATTTTCCTTTCTTTTTGAGTCTCTTTTGTGATATCCAACAACCCCCCAAAAATAATAACCACCCAGCAGTTACACTTTTGATGGAAGGCAAAAAATATAAAAAAATATATACAGCTTGTTCTCAGATGTAAAATGTTCACCAATACCATACTATTATCTTTGCATCACACATCCATGCACAAAAATGCCACATCTTAATTGTCCTCTCTGAGTTAGTCATCAGCAACTCGATCCTGACACCAGTGCAGCAAAGTAAGTAATATAGAACAATACGAAGCCCTTTTCCAGATACTTTCATGCTTTGACAGCTGGGCTTAACCATGCATTTTGAGAATGTTTTTTTTAAAGTTTCGATGTAGGTAACTAGATCTATATGTTAAGAGGTGTACTTAAGATCTTACCTTTGGGCAGGTGAAACATGAGGCCAGGAACAGGTGTTGGGGTGTAAGGTATCATCCTGACCTACCACAGACAATTTTTTCTGTGGCTGGGACAGATTCTACATTTATGTATAGACTAGAACTATATCTTTACCTCATAATTATGAATTAATAATTCCTATTTGTTTCACTGGGATTGCAGTCAACTCTGGCACAGGTTTAATTGGTGATCAGTATTCATCATTTTACACTTCATATGAAGATGAAAACTGTACTATTCCAGGGGCGGATTGTGGCAGTCTTCTGGGTCTTCTGGAAGACGGTCGGATTTTCAAGTTTACATTGACAGGTATCTAATTTTTTTCTGTCGGAAGACGGTCAAAAATGGATGGATCAACAAAGTTTATTTGGAAGACTGTCAGAAAATATCTCTGGATCCGCCCCTGTATTCCTGTTATACATGGAACTCTGTCTTAATGGTGCTTGTTATTAAAGTATAGGCTTCTGTGTGTGTGTGTGCGTGTGTATGTGTGTGTGTGTTCAAATACAGATAATTAGTGTGATATTATTTACTCAGTCTGTGTCTTTCCAAGAAAAACACAGAAGAATTTCCAGTGCATATATATGTTAACTTAAGAGGATATCACTTTTAGAATGTAAAATTTCAAGCTTTTAAAAACTTAAATTTAAAGAGGTTTTGAGTTTTCAAGAAAACTTGAAATTTGTCATTTCTTAATGATGGAATGTTTATTTGGAAATCCTATCTCCAAATCTCCCATTAGTGTGCCAACTGCTTCTGTCTCACTCCCTACCACCTAACCCACCACTCCCATCCCAAACTCCATCCCTTATTCCATCACTTCCAGCCCACTTTTCATCCCTTATCCCACCATTCCAATCCCCATCCCCCTTCCCCACCCTCAATAAAATTATATATTTACCTTCAATTGATTCCACAACAAAGGCCACATTAGCCTCCCAGTCAGGTTTAAAAAGACCCTGGATGGGGTGGTTAGTATGCATATGTTGTTTAGGTTGACTCTGATCCCTGGGGTTAACCCCCTGGGGTCACCAGGGAGCTTGATCAGGGTGTTAACTACACACATATCCTTTTAACAAAACAAATAAGAGTCCATTGTGAAGTAAACAACTCTTTTAACTTCCAGGCTGTTGTGAGAGTGTGAAAGGACTACAATAAATTTAACCATAATTTTATTGATCTCTTGTTGTTGTATACTTTGAATTGGCACTTGAGGACTCTTTTGTTCACTGAATAACCCTCTTAGCTTCCATTACAGTCTTGTTAAATGGTATTTCCAAGTTGACTTTTTATTTCAAGTTATTGTCCATTTAAAAAATTGCCTAAACATGAAAGTGTGATAACTGATATTTTGTATATTTACAAAAGTGGTTTGTGGAACATTATTTAATTAGTGCGATATTTCAAAAGAAAACTTATGTAAGACTGAAAATTCATGGTCTATGCTTTTAGACTAAGTTTTTTGAAATCATATGTGAGGTAATATAGACCGTTAGTCATCCACTTAATAAGATATTGCACCTGTCTCATAAAAAGAAAGAAATAATGTTTTAGAGCAATTTGTTAATTTTAGTGGATGACTTTTAGGGATTAATCTTGACATGAAGTAATTTTTAGGTATAAAATTTGGACCAACTTTCAGTCTCAGGTTGCATTGTTAATATTGTCTTGGATGTGTAATGAAAACAACTGAAAATAATGAAAAAATTAATTGACTTATTAGTAAACTTGGTATTGGTCATTATGCAAACATGCTTATACCTATCAAAATTGACTCTCTTTATATTGACATAAAAAATTAACAAGAATCAATGAATAGCATTGCCTCTGGCCAAAACACAAGTGGTGACCTCCCTGGGATGTGTTTGGACACTGACAATGTGTGTGAGAGAATGTGAATTGCAGTGATTTGAGAACAATCACACACATAGTGTATTTGACTGGCTGCTCCAGCCTGAGTTTCAGAGATTTCCAGAGACTTCTATTATTTGAAAACATGCCTGTGCTATTTTCAGTGACTGGTGCTGATACTGCAGGGTTACTTGTTTAATTTCAGCAAACTCTGCTACAATCGTTTCCTTGATTCAAGAAAACACTTATGCCAAGTTCCTTTATAGTGACTAATAGTGTGTGTGTGTGTATGTGTGTGTTAGTGTGTGCGTGCACATGTGTATAGTGTCTATGAATGCCGTGCTTTGACTGTGCTTTCATGCATGCATGCATGATATATATTAATTTGAAAGGTTGAATACATTTAGTGAAAGATTTTAAGATGGCAAAAAATAATAATGCATTAATTATCCTCTACTCCTAACCCTTAGCCCCCTCCACACTCTACTTCACCCCCCCCCCCCCACCTACATTCTTCTGTCATTGGCAACAGAAGCTATAAGGTGTTATATACAAATACATATTATCACCATGTATTGCTGCACAAGCAAACAGAACTTCATACAATCAGCAGGTATTGCCATGTTGCTAAGCTATCTTTGCTGTAGATTGGCTTGCCACTTGACTGTGACAAGGAGAGAGATATTTTAGCATGCTTTACTGATACAGCAGCCACGAAACTGATTAAGGAAGGTAAGATGGTCTGAATTATGTTCTGGTAAAGAGGTGCTCACAATATGAATGTGATTGAAAAAAGAAATCATGATTTAAGACATTGCTGTGATGAAAAACTCCAAGTGTAAAAAGTGTTTTGTGAAAAGTGGATATTACATATAGCAAAGATTAAAATTGTTTTCTTCAAAAGTGTCACACTTAATTATGCTGTTTTATATATCTTTATGATATGAATTTACACCAAAACACAAGTTGGATAAAAGGAAAAAATGCATTATCAAAAAGAAAAAAAAAAGTGCTCTGAGACAGCACACATGGACACATTGAAACAATGCTCATGTCACATGCAGGCACCCACATGTCGTACCCTCTAACAGTACATCCCTGTATTTGCTTGTCTTTGTCCCCATTTGCTCACAATTACTTAAATCTGCTCTTTGAGGACAAAGTGGGATTTTTTTTATTCTCATTCTTTTCCATTTAAGATGGAATAACATTGACATAATACTGTTGTGGTTTTTGTACTTGACGGCATTTAGGAGCGGGGACATTTTTCCACTCCACTGCTGTATCTGAATGCTTGTCGTAAAGATACGCAGGCTTGTTTATCAAGAAGTGTGCTCTGCTTCCTGGACTAGGACAGTAAATTCACAGGGATTTTCTCTACTTATGACCATTAAAACTATGCACATGACTGATTCGAAATGTCCCTGGAGATACTGACTCTAGTTCGTCGAGAAAAGTGAATTATCCTGGATAAGTGAACTACTGGGACTGGTACAGTATTGAATTGGACTTGGACAGCAAGGTAAGTTGCAGGTTTTGACAATATTTTGGACTGGTTGGCAATATATGCATGTATATTTTGTGTGAATCTGAGTTCTGGTGACCAAATACCAGCAAAGCTTACTTTTGGGATATATATTTGGGTGTATATACTTAAGAGGTAAGTACATACTTGGAATATAGAGATGGATTGCTATGCTTTGGGCCAGGGGTGGAGGGGATGCATCATATAACACATGTACAATACAGAACTAAAAAAAAAAAGATCATTTAGGTGTATGTCTTGGGACGCCTGGCAGCCCCAAATAACCTCTCCCCATGAATCAGCATCTGCCACATTTCCAAAACAAAATAATTTATTCATCCTTTAGTTTGTAAAAAAGACACACCCCAGTCCTCCAGGTCCATGCTGCACGTTCTTCATTTACCATTAGTGGTGGGGTGGGTGGGAGAGGGAGGCAGTGGCAAGGTAAACCAGAATAATAGTATGGTAAATTGGGATAGAAAAATGCTAGTGCAGTTAGAAATTTCCTGGTCTTCTCTTTCTCTTTCTAATTTTTTAATTATAGCTGGTAGAAACTTTGTACCTGTAGTTGTTTTTTGTTTGTGTAAGTCTTGATTTTGTGCTACCATTAAAGTAGAGTGGGTTATTTTTTCTGAAAAAAAAAAAAAAAAAAAACAAGTTCTTTATATTAAAGTTTTGACAGAGTTCCCCATTCCTTCTCTGAATCAGCTACTGGGTAGTGACATATGATACTTTTAGTGCAAGCTAGACTGGGAAATTCACTTTTTGCACATTGCAACCAGTATAACTTGACAGTGATTCATAGACTTCATTGACTTTTGGTATATATCTGTCACAATTAAAACCATTGCTTTGTATTTGTTATCTTTATGCTCCACCTGAGTGCAGCCTTTATTCATCTAGAAATCATCTAATTAAATGGAAGAATAGAGGAACTTGCCTCTTTAACTTAATTAGTCACTGCAATACCGACTGAATGATATTAAAGGTATTCAATAAATGTAAGTCGTGTTTCCAGTCAAATTGAGTTGATAGAGCTTAGATCTGAACCGATGTCAGAGGGCCATCGAGCTTCTGATAATCATGAGACATGTGAAGATGGATATGGTACAGAGATAGGTTGTCCCAAGTTGACTGTAAACTTGCCTGACATTAAAGTATGTTGAGCTATTTAAGCCAGGGATAGTTGATTTGTGTTGGTCACTGCTTAATTTTGTGAATAATTATATGTACAAGAGGATAGAGTTTAAACATTTTAGTAGAAAAATGTATCTTACTCAGAGATAAAAAAAATGAATATATCTGAAGGTGGACATTTTTAGTCATAAATATTTTCAATTTAAGGGGTATTACTAACATTGAAGGGAAAGAGAATAATAATGAAGGTGTGATTTAGAGCATAAAAGGGAGATTTTTTTAAATATCAAATGAATTGATTAATACATACTAGTAAATGCAGATATGCTATGTTTAATAGTTATTTTTAGATTTGAACATCATTTTAAAGAACTTTGAGTCTGATAATTGTGCAGTCATGATTGAAAATAGACTTTCAAGATTCTAAAAGCTGTGAATGTTTTAAGAGTTGTACGGTTTTCAACAATAATTCTCTAAAAGATACAAATTTCATTAAACATGATATTAGCTAATGAAAAACTACAGAATTAACAAGTGAAATCAAATAAGATGTATATCGTTTGCATTCATATTTTATGAGCAGATACATTGCCATTAAAAGTGAGCCATAAAATGTTTCTGAAACAAAAGTCATCTTAATTGTGGAAATGCTTGCATGCTGTTTGTTCTCAAATCATTTATCATGATGTATCATTGGACATAAAAGCTTTTATTCATTTTATTGAATTTTTAATTAGCCATTCCTAAGTATGATGAATGTCCACAAAAAAGTCACAGAAAACACACACGGTGACAATATAGTGACAGCGGAAAACCACCTCTTGTCACGCCAGGGAGAAATAATAAGCAGAAGATGAAGATTGATCGTTGGTTTGGGACATTTTAAGGAAATTGTGTTTGCTTTTGTAATCTTTATCAGGTGGGTATGTTCCAAGCTGGAGCATAATAATGATTGATTGTGAGGGCAAACAATGGATGCTAATAGAAAAATAACATTTCAGGTATGGTTAATTATGACATCTTTTCTTTGCAGATCTCATTAGGAGTATTTCCCGTGTTAAACAATCTCTAACCTAATGTGGCATTGAGGTGTTTTTTGAAAATATCAATTTTCGAGGAGGTTGCCTGGTTAAGTGTTCCACATATCTCTTTATACTGTTTTCCCCTAATTAATTAGTGATTTAATGAAGCTGTAGATTGTTTCCTGAAAACAGCAGTTTAGAAATATATTTGTTTGTGTAGTAATTTATATATTCTTTAGCCCACATCCCCACAAATGNTTTTCCAAAAATGTTACAGAGCGATGGCGAGTGCCGGGAATGATAGATTAAAGGTTGGTAAATCGCGGAAAAGTAGTGTTAACCTCGGGATAAATCAGGATAAATCAATTTTGGCGCGAAAATCCTCTTTTGTGTCCTTTTAACAGAGCATTTGGACATTTCCTGAGTCCTGCTAATTGGTGAAGAGACATTTGTGGAGTGCGCATTTTAATGCAACTTGATATCGTGAGTCCATGACTCATGTAATGGTGGTGAATAAGAGAACCGCTGTCGGAAGATTGATTACAATAATTGGACCATTGTACTTCAGTGGTGTTGCATTATGGAGAGATGAATGGTCCTCCAACAGACAATAAAAAGGGCTTATCTTTAACTCCTGCAAGATTTTATGATTTTTTTTGTGAAACTTTTCTTTTTATATGAATTTATTTCAATTGATAAATAGTGTAGGCAGAGATTTAAATATGGCTGATCTTCAAAATTTACACTGATATTTTAGTCTTTTACAGGGCCCTCTATTTGTGTCTTAATTGGCTTGATTCATGGGAATTTTTTTTCCTTTTTTTTCTTCTTTTTATACAATGGATTAACTGGGCTAAAAGTACTAAAATCATATCAAGTCAAATCAAATTTTTTTTCATCAGTTCATAATGAGCGTGAGACATGATCACATTTTTCTGTCCTCTCTCTCTCCCTTTATTTTCAGCCATCTTCACACACTGGTAGTAATGTTAATGATACCTTTAACAATTTAGGCTGTCTGACAAGACAAAATCATATTAATTTGTGCATTGTAGACCTGCACATCACTTTGCTGATCAAGATTAAAAGAGGATACAAAAAAATCAATTTTCTTCTAGAAGAACACTGTGAAAACCATTCTTCTGCTTACCAGATAATGAAATTAGATGCTCTGTTCTCTGATGCCAGTGAGTCACCAGAAATGCAGTTGTTTTGTTTCTCATACATGTGCAAGGGTGCATGTACTTACTGGTAAATTTAAATGTCATTGTGATTCTATTTTGTTAAAGTAGGTACTTCAGTATTATAATATTTACCCAAAAAAAGAAATTTCAAGATAATGAGAGATAATTTAAAAAAGAGTTTATATTAGCAGGTCTGTAGCCAGGGGAATTCAGGGGTTCAAACGAACCCCCTTTTTAACAGATGAAGGTTTGCTCTGAGAAACATTTAATCTACATATAGGTACACAAAGGTTTTATGGTAAAAGGTTAACTTTTTCAGACCCCCCCCCCCTTTACAATCACTGGCTACAGGCTTGATTAAGATTAAACTGTGCATGGCTATGAAAACAGAAATATGAAACTCTTGTAGTAGTGCACTATGCATAACAGCTAGGTAACCTCAAAGAGAAAAAAATAAAGTAGGAAAGCTAGATTCTTAAGAAGAGCAAAACAGAATGACAGTTTGATGAAAAAAAGATTAGAAATTGCTATTGCCAGCACCAGCACGGTAGCCTGCTTTGTTTTCTCAGCCAGTTAATTTCCAACAGCATGAATTAAACCATTTGATGCCTAGGTCACAATGTTATCAAGAGGAGCAGTTATATGAAGAAAAACCAGGGGCCTTTTATCAGCCTTATTGAGGAGGAAGGGAATGAAGTTATCTGCTTTAAATGAAGCATTGAGTCATTCTGTACCCAGATGTATAGTTCTAGGGACTGAGTGTAGGGATTGGGAAGTCATATTTATATGCCCATTTACAGAATTCTTGGGACAGAACCATTAGTGAAGATTGAGATGCCTTGGTACACGTTAAGCTAGTAAAGGCTTATTGTTTGCTCTTTCCTTCCAATTTAATTTTTAAAATACTTTCTACCACTACTAACTGAATTGTACAAGCAAAGTGTACTCAGGTATTCCAGTAAGCAGAGTCCAATTATACAAAAATATTGTGTTAATTATAAAAAAATTCTGTTACATTATTCTTGTTGAAATAGTGGGTGTAAGTCCCAGACATTTGTCAAAAATGTCACACATTGAGGTTTATTTGCATATTTAATGTTTGAGCCAAATAACCTTTTTTTTTTGTTCAGCATTCGTGATGAAATTAAACATAAAATTATTTTTTAAAATATTTTTTTCCATTTCCACACTCAAAGATAAAATAAATTCTGCATTTTATAAGAAATCCTTAACCTAGTACACCAAATCTTTTCAATAAATTTCAGACAGGTAATCCTCACAAATCCTTGTCCTTCACTTTAGCTGGAGAACCTGTTTTGTTATGTCATCATCTAGGGGTCTTTCACATCCTTGCCGTGGCTGTTCCCTCAGTTTGATGTCTGCCAGAGATATATACTCAGTGGCTTGTAACCTTGCAGGTGTTCCCTGTATTTTTACTACACGGTGTCACCAAGCAACCAAGGCATGTTGGAGATTTGTAGCCAGTGAAGAGCTGATTAGGGGATTAGCAAAGAAATGCCAGTCCATCAACATCGAGGTGATCATCTGCGTGATCATGTCTCAATGAGATTTCCATGGGTCGGTCTGCTGTCTGTCTGTCTGCCTGCCTGCCTGTCAGCCAGTTGGTCGGTCATCTGTCATTGTCTGATTGCCCGTTTGTACGTCTGTCTGTCCGTCCATCTGCCTGCTTTTTTTTCTCACTGTCTATTACTTTCAATATAATATCTTTTTAACAGTAAACACATTTTAGATGTCACATACATTTTCTTAATCTCCTATTTAATTGTGCTTTCTTAATGATTTTTGCAATGGCGGTGCATTCCACTGCAAATATATATACCAAACTTGAAAATTAATAAGCTTTCACTTCTCTTGATCTCATTGTGGCCTACGAGGTCATCAAAGTTTGATTTGCTCGTACTTGACTAAGATATAAATGAGCTGCCCAGATAGTGGTGTTTGTAGATTTTAAAGCATTTGATCCCAGATTGAAACATTTTTCAAACATTCTGTAAGTGTTGGTTGTCAAAACTTTCAAATTTATACAAGGACTTAAGAATTTCAATAGTATGCAGTTTCAACAGTATAAGTGAAGTAGGAGTGAATGTGAAATAATTGCAGATTGTAGATGCATTTATAGAAGACAAGAAGGTTAAGAGCTGTCAGTATTTTTTTCCAAATTTTATAGTATGCATGTAGTGAGACAAAAAGTGCAACGCATGCATATGTTATGTAATTTATATAGTAGGGATAAATTAAAATAGCATAAAAAGGGTAATAGATATACACGGTACATGATAACTGGATACAATTTAGAAAAATGAAAACCATAAAAATGAATCTGTTTCCTCTTCACCAAAAATGAATGATTTGGTTATTTTTCTCCATTAAAATCACAACTTCAAATCACAATGTCTGATATGATGCTCTCTGTTGAACATTATATTGCACCTCCCCTGGCAAAATGCCAAATGATAAATTTATTGATTTGCGGCATAAGTCAAAAGATTTTCACATCTGTTAAGTCAACAAATACCTGGTTGAAGTGGACAGTTATCAAAGCAGTTTTGATACACAATGAACGAGGTGACAGACCTTATGGATGATTAAACATAGAAAAGATGGGACACGGGGCACGCAGTGATTATTACAGCTAGTTTCAGTTTTGATAATTTTTGTGTGAGAAGAATTGGTGACAGTTTTAAATGTTTGGATTTGTTGGGAACTTGTAAGGCTTTTGTCCCATATAGTAAACTGAAGGAAATTGATATCAGTGAGTTAAATGAAAAAGAGACAGAAATAGCCACATTTAAATGAAACTGACTTAAAATGATCAAAAAAGAAATAAATTGGTAAACTTAAAGAATAAGTACTCAGTAATTATCACTGGTTGCTGATCATTTACTCTCTGTCTAGAAACAAAGGTCATTAGTAAATTTTGGAACATTTTGTGTATTCTTTGATTGAATTATTAAAATATTATTAAGTTGCACAACTTTCTAGCTCCCATCAATATTGTAAAAGGCATAGTGTTGATTTATTAGAATTTGGTATTTTTGATAATCTGAGAATTAAACTACACACTAAACTGCTTATATGTCAAGATCAGAAATAGCAAGGAAACACAAATTGACATTTATCCAAATTTTCATACTCTGAATGATTTTCTGTCTCAAAATCAATGGATATACTTTGGAAAATTAAGTTATTTCTGCTTCTCATGACTCATTACTTTAATCATTTTGTATTTTATCTGTATTTGTCTTTCTTTTATTTAATTTACCATAATTGAAATAAAAAAAGTGCTAAAGACTTAACCACCTGGTGTGCTTGACAATTTTCAAGTGACATATTTTTACTTGTACAGTACCAGTGGCACATTGGAGTACAACCATGTGAAAAGAATTTTACTGAGCTTAATTTCCTTACAATTAATGGTGTTTTATTATACTTTGCCTTTTCATGGCCTTTGATTGTTTTTGATTGCATGTGATTGCAGATTAATTATATGGAGTTAGGGTGAGGTGGGGGGGGGGGGAGGATGAAAATAAAAGCTGTTCATGGAACACGGGCAATATCTGCAAAGAAGCGTAACATTAACTGATTGAATAAGCATTACTGTGTGACTGCCGCTGACTGTTGATATTTTTAAGACACAAGATATCCATATTGATAGAGAACAAACAAAGAAATCTAGTTCACATAACTGTAATTGCATGCATACCCAGTAAATGTCCTTTTCTTAAGAGATCTAATTTATGAGAGAAAGCGTGCATTGATCTGCTATCTGTAATTGACATCAGATCTGCGAAGAGACAGATAAGGTTTTCACTAAATCCCATGTGACCTTGATTGAAAGGCCTTTCCGGCTTAATATCCAGTTCAGTATTTTGGACTGGATCACAGGTGTACATGTACTAGCTGGAGCCTCACAGGTGTGCTGAGACAGAGGAGACAGCCATCACAGTGTCAGCTTAAAATCACTACAGCTTAACTATCAGAATTGCAATTCTTAACAGATAAAATATACTGGATTTTTTTGGCAGGTATGTGCTTTGATTTGTTAAAATTTAATGAAAAGTGCTAGCGAGAGTGTAAAAGTTGTGGGAAATAGTCAGGAAATAAATTTGTCATTTGTGCAATGTTTTTTTTTTTAAATTAAGAAAACTCACTACTTTATGCTTTTTTTAATTGGGGGGAGGGATGATTAATAGAGTTTAATGTCCGTGATAAGATGTTTGACTGCAGATGTTGCTTAATATATTGTCTGACTACTAAGAATTTTGCATCTCTTCTTTAATGAAATCATGGTGCTAAATTTAATCTTTTCACAGAGTCATCTTAACTTAAACCTATATTTCTATGCAGATCTATAAGTAGGGAAATTCATACCTCAAGTCATTTCTATGAGAACCAGTAAAACCAGTACAAGTAAACAATTTTTCTTAATTCCATTTTTTAGCCATTAGATTTATCTTTTTTTATAAGGAGGAAGTTTAAGTATAGACTTATGAACAAAGTCAATATTATTGGAGACGTTATGGTGTTGTTATAATACAAGCATACCACTGCGAGGGGAGAGGGCGTGGAGTTTTTGGCAGCCTCTCACCCCTTACCAAATCATTAGTTTCCTTCTCTAGACAAGTGAATGAAAGTCAGAAAATGTCATATAACCACATAAAAGATGTCTTGTACATGCACATGTATTTTGTTTCTATTTTTGTGTCTTAATTGGTCTACAATAGGAAAGGGAGTTGTAGAGAAAAAGTTCAAGTACATGTACTAGAAGAAACAGTTAATGCTTTTTTCTGACTAACTATAGGTTGTTGTTGTTGTGGTTAAATGTGTACATGCTAAAAAACAGTTCAATGTTTTTCAAGTCCCTGTGTCGCCAGTGTGGAATACTTCATTTCTGATGTGTTCAGAGGGAGGAGCAAACAGCATCTAATTCAGCGTCAATATTTTGCTTCAATTTGTTAACGTTTACAATGTCAGGCTTCTGCCGCACACACGCACACACACTACGACTGACTGAATCAATGGTTACTGGACCTTTTGTGAACTTTTCACACAGGTTACAGCCCGCGTATAACAAAACGTGTGATTGTTGTGGTTTAATCGTTTTTTTCTGTTGCAATATTTATCAATAACAGTTGGGTAATGGGACCATTAAGGGAAGTAATTCACACGGTGGTTTTCCCTGAAGGCTTTAAGCCTTCTTAGTAACGCTGGCTTCTCAGTCTGATTTGACCTGAGTTGTCTTGGTAATTTGAAAGATAAAGAAGGATGGAAGACTTTGGTGGAGTAAGATAAGATTTAATGAAAATGAGAGGATAAAAGTCTGTGTGTGATGATGATCTAACATGCTGGGTTGGTACCTTGATGTAGCTTTTGGCTGAAGACTTTGAAAATATAGGTGGTATTGTTTGAAGTATAAGTGTTCGGACTGTTCTTTTGAATAGATTATTACTGTTATACTGTGAGCTATACTGGTACTAATATTTTATGTTTTATTTCCAAACAATAATTACATTGAGCAATATACACAGTGCTGTCTGTCAATTAAATCAATTTTTTCTTATCTAGCTGATATACTGTCCTACAGAATTTTAAAAATTCATTCAATTATTATTTTCTATTTTAGATATCATCTTACAGCCTGCCTCCTTGTCATTTCTAGAACTCTCCAGTGACTGAGGCCCAAGTATCTAGAGAAGACGACAGAGGATTGCGCCAGGAGAATGGTTGTAATGACAGGTATGTATGGGTTTTGCTTTCTTCTGCAACATGAGCTGAGGCATGTAGATTTGGTATCAAATTAGTAAATTGATAGATTTTTAACAGCTACTAGTGCAGTTGGAAGAGTGGGAATTTTAGCCATGTTTTTTTTAATTATTCTGTCATTATCTATAGAATCCATTTATTATTATTATTATTATTATTATTCACAAAAAATATTATCTCAGAGAAGTAGGACAAAAGTTAAAGATACATTCATCATGAATAATGGCACAGTGTTTTTGTTAGCTGGAAGGAATGTACATGTATGAAATCCAATTGAAGAAACTTCCAAGTCTGTGTCAAAAAAGTTTTCAAAAATCTCAAGAGTAACAGATTAGATCGACCTACTTCAGATCGACCTAACTCCCTGGGTGTTCATGCTAGATAGCTGTCAGCCGGGCGGACACGAAAGTTAATTACCCCCTTACAGCTTGTAGTAGGCGGGACAGACATTTAAGTCGGATTATCTGAAAGTAATCTAGTGAGACTCCCCGCGGGGATAGATCGATCTAAAATCTATGGGAATAGAGCCTAATATGAGTTTTATGGATGATGATAAAAGATACCAGTTGTTTACTTCTTTCACCTGTATGACATACTAGTGCAATTAAGTAAACTTTCTAAGAGGAATTCTTTTTTCATGTTATAGATATTGGTTTAGAAAAATACTAGACAAACATATGTTTAAGAGAGAAAAGCCGACATGAGCTTTTTCTGCGGAAAAGTGGAATTCCATGTTTTTTAATTCAGTACTGATGGTTCCTGAATTCATCAAGGTTAGGTGTTGGGTTCCATGATAATTTTTTTTTTTTTTTGAAACGTAGGCTCATGTCTCGAGAAGAAAAATTGGTAGAAAAGCATGCATTGCAATTTCGGAAGTTTCACTTTGAAGATCAGAGGGTAAATGCTAATGGGCTCATTTGATTCCACACAATTGGGATGTTTCATTTATAGACTAGCTGCATGTGCTTGTATCTGTTTGAAGTGATATAAGATGACACATACATGATATGGAGCTTGTAATAGAAACTTTGAGATCAACCAAACTTCAATTTGGTTGTAATGCTGGATTAAAAAGAGTCATTATTGAAGGTATGTGATCAACAGTGAAACATCTGGCTTAATTTTTTTTATTTAATCAAGTATGTTTGTTGCCTTTTGTTACATTTAAACCTAAAATAGTTGCAAGATGTTATTTGGGATATCTTGTTTCTGAGCCATGTGTCATTGAATTGACTAATTGACTTGCATTGGAAGTTACCTTAATTGCATGGCATTGGAGGTTAGATTCAAATATAAAGCATGAAATTTAATGTTATATTTTATATAATGTGGGGAGAGAGGGGTAACAGTTTTTATTGTTCGAAATAGCTCAGTTATGCCAGACATCAGTTTATGTTAGCTGCTACTGAATTGGAAGATAGGAGTCGTGAGCTGACTGTGCCTGAATGCTTGTTTTTGTTTTTAACATATATATCTTAAGTAGCTGAAATAATAATATTAAAGTTTATTGTTAAAACTAGTGTATTTTTTGTTAAAAATAACTGATCAGGACCAACAGCTGGAGCACATCCAAATAGTCTCCTGTACCTGTCTTATCTCATCTGAAATAATTGACGTATTTGCTCAGCAGAGATCTGAGTTCAAACCTAATAGGATCACAGCAATCCCTTCCAGTGGCAAATTTAACAGCAATTGTTCGGTATTGTCTGTGTAATGATCACACCTCTTTTGTAATATTTGCACTTCAAGTTCCACTCAATTCCTTTACAATAGGTCCTTCAAGGGGAATTGAGTGGCTTGATAGGGCTATTGTGTGGGATTTATGTACCCCTGAAGGGGGGTGTGTATTTCGAGGGGTTTAGAATTTTTGCTTTGGAGTCTGGGATAAACCAAGAAGGCCCAGGTGAGACATTTATATTCTAATACAACCTGCCATCAATGAAGTTTTTTTTAACCACACTCAGCATGAGCTACCTTAGTTTCTTGCATGTTTTTTTCCCCCTTTTTTCCTAAACTGGCTTGTTCCTCCCATCATCATGCAGCCATCTTTTGCAAATGTCATAGTTTCTTAAGACAGTTGTTAAATTCTATTTGATTTCAGGATTTTGCTCAGAGAGAAATTTGACAATGTTTACAAAGGAGTCTTGATTTTAACTCCTGCACATTGGGCTAAGAATGCTGTTGTTGATGCAGACTTCAGTAACTTTATCTTGTTATGTTGAATTCTGTTTGGTTTTAGGATATCTGTCAGGGAGAAAGTTGACAGTGTGTTCAGTCAAACTTTCATTTCAGGTGCGTTCACAATACAGGGGCGGATTTAGGCCGTCGTCTGGGTCTTCCGGAAGATGGTCAGATTTTCATATTTACATTGACGGATATGTAATTTTTTCAGTCGGAAAATGGTCAAAATTGGATGATGAATCAACAAAGATAACTTGGAAGACTGTCAGTTAATAGCTCTGGATCTGCTCCTGCAATTAAACTATCCTATAGGTAGTTCAAGCTATGCCAGGACTCTCGCTGATTGCAATCAGATTAACACGATTCCTAATTGTAAATGCAACCTTAATTGTGGCCAGTGACTTGCATTGCGTGAAGCTCAGATTTGGAGCTCAGATGTTGTAGAAAAAATAAATTTTTTATGTACTAGTTCTATATGATAAATAAGTGGTCTATCAATATAATGATGCAGTAGTGGAGAATTGGGAGAAGAGGCATGTGATTAAAAACTTCATAAATCAAGATACAACTATCTTGGCTATTGGCTATTAATTTTAACTGATTAACCTGGTTATAAGTATTTAACTGCTTTATATTTTCTTTATTGATTTTTGATAAAACTAAAATATTTAGATGTTGTTATAGGTATATTGTGCTAGTAGAGGAAGCCTAGAAACAGATCACTGCTGTGGCTAAGACGCGATAGTCTGACACAATCTGATAAGAACCACTAACACAATGGGTAATTTTGGCAGAAGTCTTGTTCAAGCTCTCATACACAGGTTGGGTCTGTAGTTTAGCGATTGCAAAAGAGGGGAGGGGTCATTTTCTGAAAAGAAAAAGGTGGATCTTTTTTTTGTCCCATTTGTTAACCCATTCTGAGAAATGACATAGAAAGGTCAGAAAGAGTGTTTTGCTCAAACCTCCCAACTCCTACAAGTATATATATGTTGCTTAAAATATAATGTTTGAATGAAAGCATGGACTTCTCACAGATCAGTGTCAGTTGCTTCCCCTTAAAACCATCACTTAAACTGAACCAAATGCAGATTTAAATGTATGATTGCCCTAGCTGTCAAACTGTTAAAAGGTGTCAAACCTTAGGGTAAGGGATGACATATATCTCTTTGTGTAACACTGTCTGGTCTTGTCAACGTCTCGACACTTTCTGTACTTGGCTCGCCATCATCCATTTACCTCCGAATACACCCCCATTGGACATCAATCATCATTGCGCACTGCACAGTGATAGATTGGCAGCCCTTTTGCTGATACAATGTATCATGATTTGGAAAATGAATAGATTGATGGATCACTTTGACATATATTTCAGAAGAATTTATCATGTAATATTGAAGGGATTTGACAGCACTTTTCATGATTTTATGATGGGGAAGTAATTGCTATTTTGGTTTTGTTAAAACACATCTATTGATTGTTATTAAGAATTGCTTGGGGTTGATCCAGTGAAATGAACAGTAATGAAATCATATGGTGAAAATGAGAAAAAAGATTAATTCATTTATAAAATATGTAAGTGTGATTTCTTGCATTCTGTGTGACTTTTTACTTCAGTTGTACGTAATATAAGTGCATTCTATACTTTTCATGCTCATATTCTAAACTATTGTTTGATATCTTTCAGATATTGTAAAGCGCTGTGTGTTCTCTATCTGTGCATATAAATCTTGAAAAAATTAAGATAATTGATATTTTCTAGAACTGAAACATATAAACTAGAAAAAAGCAAAACAAGTGAGTCATAGGAAATCTTGGTTCAAATTTCCATCTATTTTAAAATCATACGGCTTCTTAGAGAAAAACATATATACCACAGATAAACATGTTCAGCTGAGGGACTGTAAATCCTGATCTATGAACTCAAACATATGATTGGTTGTGTCAAACGAAGGTAGCGACCCATGAACCCCTAGTACTCCTTAAGTCTTCATGTTGTGACAGGTGTTTTGTCAGGTTAAATGGCCTTATCCTTTCTCACCTGTCTGGAGGTGACAGTTGGCATTAAGTACTGCAATCACCGCACCATCAAGGTGCCATCTTGTGATGAATGGTTGTACTGACAAGGGCAGACAATGTTGTTAATGTCTGCTGCTGCTGTTAGATAGTGGTTAAATAAACTCGTATTTTGTCAATAACAGTCTGAGACATGGGATGGCAGTATGAGGTATCATACTATAGGAGTTGGCTTTAGAGTAGTGAAAGTATAGCATTTTTCAAGGTTCAAGCAGATGAAAATCTTAGTGTTTGTTTTAGGTTATTTTCCTATTTTCTCTAGCTTTAGTCATCGTTCTAGTCAACTTTGATCAGGTTTAGACTTGGTACCCTGTAGTTTTTGGAGACCCACTTTTACGTGTGTGTGTGTGTGTGTGTGTGTGTGTGTGTGTGTTAAGGCTCGCACACTATCCATGAATCACCTTTTTCCAAAAAAACAATAAAAAAGTAATAAATCAATATTTTTTTTACTTTTGATAAAAAGGAATATCTAATCATACTAGTATGTAATTTAAATAATTGCCTTTTACTTTCCTTTTCTAATTCTGCCAGTGAACACAGTTGTTTGTCTTGTGTTTTAACATGCACAGCACATGTCATATACCCTCAGGGTTGACTACTATGGTATAGAATGTTCTAGAGAAAAGATGGAAATATGCAACTTCTATTTTGCTCCCATGAGGTCAGATACCCCAGGCTATAAAAGAGTTATCATTGTTAGGACAGAGAAACAAACATGG